GCCTGGAGGGGGAAAGCGCCCATAGCCCCAGAGCGAGTCGAGGCGATCAAACCCACCGCCGCCTTCCAGAAAGAGGATCGAGGATTGTTTGTGTTCGTGTGTGTGTGTGTGTGTGTGTGTTTGTGTTTCTGTGTGTATAATCCCCGTAGGTGGATCCAGTATCTCCACGCCGCGTGATGTGGGCCAGCCCGCGCGCGTCTCTCTCTGGCTCGATCTGCACTTCACCGCGCCGCAGCGCGTGGCCGCGACGCCATATGCGTAGCACCCCGCAGATTCACAAATTATGCAACCAGCCCGCCGCAGGCGCCGATTATTTCGTTAAACCAATGTGGGTAGGTCGCGGGTGGCTCACTGACTGCCTCAAGCCTCGTCGTCTTCCAGGGTGGTTGGGGTACGGGAGGTCGTCGGCCTGCGGTCCTGTGTGCGCTGGGCCCTGGGCTGGGACGTCTGGTTCGGTTCACGTCGGTTCGGTTCGGAGGGCAACCCGGTTCCGGTTTGGTTCCGGTTCTGGCTCGGTTCGGTTCCCCCCCGGTTCGGTTCTAAACGAATTCGGTTTGGTCCGGTTCGTTTTTTTTGTTTATCTTGTCTTGGTCCAGTTCGGTTCGGTTCGGTCACGGTTGTCGGTCTTCGGTTCGGTTCGGTCCTTTCATGTACCTTGGACGCCACGTGGGGTGCACAGGGCAGCGGCGCCGCATGGCCCTTCAGCTGCAGGGGCGCGTGTCACGTACAGGGCGCCTCGCTTCAGATCGTGCGTAGTCGGAGGGGCACTGCGGGTGTCCAGACACGCCAGAAGCCAGAGGTCACGGCCTCACCCACCTGTCGGCGGCGAGCGAGGGGGGGAAATGAGAAGGAGAAGGCCTTCTCAGAAGGCGGCGGGACTTCTCAGAAGCCCTTGTGCCTTCTGAGAAGTCTTTGCTTTTTGTCTTCGGGGAAGGCTTAGGAAACTCCTCGGAAGGCCAGGGGACTTCTGAACCTTCTGAGGAGGCCTTCCCCAGACATCCAGCTGCTCCAACTCTTTCGATGCGTGGGCCCCAGAGGTCCGGATCGCTTTCCCGGAACCAGTTTTTCGTCCTGAGTCGTTTTTTGACACTCCCGAGGCCTGGCGAGGGCCCCCGGAGGCCGAAAACTGCCCAAACCCGGCCGCCCCATTTTTTTTTGGCAGCGTCGGATCTCAGGGGAGAAGGCCTTTTGGTTCCCACTTACCCCCCGCGCTCGCCGCCGAGCCTGGTCCGAGCTGGGCCTGGGCACTCGTCCGCAGCCGGGGCCGCTGGTTAGCTCGCGCGTCGCCAGAGCTGCGCACGGAGCTCCTCCTCTCCTCCTCGGGGCGAGGAGGGCATCGCGCGCCGCGGGGCACAGGTGCGCGTGGCTGCGCCTAGTCCTCCTCTTCCTCCTCCTCCTCCTCCTCCACCTCCTCCTCAACCACCTCCTCTTCCTCCTCCTCCACCTCCACCTCCTCATCTTCCTCCTCCTCCTCACCTACGCTCATCTCCTCCTCCTTGGCTACGTCGACTCCTCCTCCTCTTCCTCCTCCTCCTCCTCCTCCTCCTCCTCGGCCCGTGCGGCGTCGGCGACCTCTCCGATCCCGTCCTTCTTCTCCTCCCGCTCCTTCTCTTCCTCCTCCTCCTCCTCCTCCTCCCCCTCCTCCTCCTCCTCCTCCTCCTCCTCCTTCCTCTCCTCCTCCTCCTCCTCCTCCTCCTCCTCCTCCTCCTCTTCGACCTTCTCCTCCTCCTCCTCCTCCTCCTCCTCCTCCTCCTCTCCTCCTCCTCCTCCTCCTCCTCCTCCTCCTCCTCCTCCTCCTCCTCTTCGACCTCCTCCTCCCCCTCCTCCTCCTTCTCCCATCCTCCCCCCCGTCCTCCCCCTGGTCCCCCTTCTTCCCCCCCCGTCCCCCTCCGCTCCCAGACCCCAGACCCCCGACGTCGTGAATGTTGCGCAGCGTCGACCCCCAGAGGTCTGGACCCCTTCCCCGGGACCGGCTTCTCTCCTCGCCGAGGTTTTTCTTGTGTTGCACGGCCCCCGAGGGGCCGAGGACCGAGGAACAGCGATGAAAGCCCCCCGCCGCGATTGCTTCACATGCCAGGGGGTCTGGGCCCCCCCGTCCCCCTCCCCTTCTGCCCCCCTGGGACCGGTCTTGCATCCCAAGTCGCTGTTTTGAACGGCCCCGAGGCCTGGTAAGGGCCCCCGAGGGGCGGGACAACAGCGAGAAACGCCCCCCTACGTCACGACGGCGTTGTTGTCAGGTCTCAAGAACAAACAGCAACACCACCACCAAGAGCAACAACACCAACAACAACAATATCAATCATTTTACCCGAACGCTCAGTGTTCTCCCCAATGCCAGGGTTTTCTTGCGACACCAGCCAATACCCCCACTTCGTGGGGGGGCCGTTCAAGCTCTACCAAATATCCAAACGACTCTTCGAGACCACCCACACCCAGCTTCCCGCCCTATGACGTTGGGACACTTCACTTCGTGGCGTGCGGACGACCCTGGCTACTACACTGGCGTGGGGTACACACCCACAGAGGTTGATCACATCTGTTACATATGATGTGGTACACGGTACACGTGAGATGGTACGCAGTGCCAAGATAGTTGGTCACATTTTTGGGGCAAATTCGTGGGGATGCGATTACAGAAGTACATGTGTTACACTGATGTTATACAGTCCCAAGGATGACGCATGCATTGCTCATAGACTCATGGCGCTATGATCCTAACTCTCAGTGCCCAACGCGCGCGTGCACAGCCAGACGGAGGGAGAGAAACACATGTATACAAGGTTCGTGACATACGCACGGTCCACCATGTTGTAAACGATCGCATGCACGGTAAGTTCTGAAATTATACGTATGTACAAGCAGACATGCGAGGGAGAAAGGGAGATGGCCATCGACAGTTCCAATACGGCTCCAAGGCGGAAGAGGGGGAGGAGGAGCAGGACAAGGAGGAAAGGAGAGAAGCGAGAAAGGAAGAACGCAGACGGCGCGGCTCTGGACACAAAGGGGTGCCATACTTTCTCCTGCTTTCGCAAACAGGTCCAGTCACACGTAGGGGTATACTCAACCGAATGGTCTTCGCATCCAGAAGCATACTAAAGGCGCGACGCATCGTCGTCTGCGATGGCGCGGAGCGGGCGCGTGGGTGCCCGGCTGCCTGGCTGATACACGTGCGGGCCTGGCTGATACCCGTGCGGTCCCAGATGCCCAATGAGATTGCCGATACGCCTGCTGGCGGGAAGGCCGGTGCTTGCATACGGCAGTGCTACCGCGAGCACGTTGTGGACCTGCGGTGGCAAGGCCTGGTAATCGAGCATGTTCGGAAGCTCGTCGCTCTGACCATACGACCGCCATACGGGCAACCACCACCACTGGTCTTGACGCGGATACGTGATCTCTGTGCCGACCTCAGGGGATACGTTCCAAAGGGCCATTTTCTGCGGGTCCGTACCCATGAAGGCCGCGTGGTACGCAATGAATACGTCCAAGGTGGCCAGGGCCCTGTAGGAGAGGCCGGATACGATCTCCGCATGAATGGGAATAGCGAGCTGACCGAGCAAATACCGCATACTGCGATACACCCACTGGCCCGGGTGGACGAAGAGGTTGGCTTTCCAGGCGACGATACCTGCTGCGGTGCACAGCGTGTCGAATGCGTGCACAAGGTAGCCAATGGGCTTCCCAAGCCTCTCATCCTGGAATACCGAGAAGTTCCCGAATACCGCGTTCGCGTAAAAGTACGCGTCGAAGTACAGCCATTCGGGCTCGGCGATGCCCCCCATACTGTGCTGGTACTCCGGGTCGTTGTTGATCTTCGACTGCCCCGTGGACATACCGCTCGATACGGCGAGGCACACGCCCGTAACACCCTCCCATAGAAGAGGGAAGAAGATACGCACTCTCGCAGTCGGCCAAGGGAGGCCGCGACAGCTCAGGGCCATACTGCTCGTGAAGGTCTTTCGCCGTCAAAGCCATGATCCAAGAACACAGGCGATACCTTGATCCGAGATGGCTACGGATATGTGCGTCAGCAGTCGGGGGCCTTCCTGGGGCCGCTTGGGGTCCTCTTGGGGAAGGGGGGAAGCCTCCTGGCGCGGTTTGGGGTCCACTTGAGAGCCTTTGGGGGGCTCCTTGGAACCATCTTGGGGCCTCTTGGGGGCTTATTGGACCCTCACGGCGGACTCTTGGGGCCTCTAGAACGCCTCCTGGGGCCATCTTGGGGGTCTCTTGGAGCCACCTTGGAGCCTCTCTGGAACCTCTTGGGGGCCTCTTGGAGTCCTCTTGAAGCCTCTTGGGACCATCTTGGGCGCCTCTTTGGGCCTCATGGACGCCTCTTGGGGCCATCTTGCGCGCCTGTTGGGGCCATCTTGGGTTTTAAAGATTCATCAAGAGACCGCGAATGGATTTCGAGATTTTTCGGATGAGAAAGTAGTGCGTTTTCATATGTTTTCTGAACATCGCATCTTGAAATTATTGAAAACCCATTGTGTTTGGCAGGATTTCGACATGCGCGCGCGGCGGCCGCGCGCATGTGCACTTCGTCTCATTTTTTGCAAGGGATGGTGGCCCTCGCAGGCGCGCAACCGTTGTTGGAGAAGTTCAAAGCACCTGAAGAAGTAGCACGCAAAGACCCTTTTGACAGAAATGTTTAAAAAGTGGTGTGTTTCCTATGAATCCGCAAGAGCGCGCGGAAGGACATTTTGACAATTTTTTCTTAAAAAACCATTGGGTTTTTGATGTTTTTATGTTAAAATCGCTACGAAACCTAAGGTTTTGGAAGGATTTCGTCTTGCGAGCGCGAATGTCCACTTTACCTTATTTTTTGCAAGGGATTCTTGAAATTTGATCAACTAAGAACAAGAATTTTCATTTTCTATTGTTTTTGCAAGGGAAAACGAGCGTCAACAAAAAACCGGATCCGGGGGTAATCCACTTTTCTGAAGCTTTCGCAGAAAAATGATCAAAATGTAGCTGCGGCCTAGGTTTTGGGCGGGGGGCGTGCA